TAGATGCGCTTCCATAAATATGCTGGGCAGCTTGGTATACTTTGTGCCCACTGGTAAAAATAGGCCTTCTTCCCAAGGGAAGTGATGACGTTTGCAGCCTGCCTGCATCACCAGCCACGAGTCGGCTTCATCTTCATACTGGAACAGCACAGACACATTTGTGGGGGGGAGGGAGCATCAGTGATCACCATGGCAACACATGCAGAGTGACGCAGGTAAAGGCAATAGAAAGGAAAAGAGGTAGTGATTGGCTAGCAACTGCTGTGGTGTGTTTATGTGTGTATGTGTGGGTGGTAAAGAAGAGGAGGAGGACTCAGTAGCCCAGAATTGAGATTAGCATGCACACACACACACACACACACACTCTCTCACACACTCAGTGTCCAAGTCTGTTAGCACGGTCAACAATTCAGCCTAGGAATGAGATGATGTGATTTAACACGCTGCTTGAGCAGTGACTTCAGAGGCAGAGGAAAATTGTGTTATTTGCCTCTCTCACAAACACCATCCTGGATATCATGCATGCATACATTTAGGAAGAAATATTCCCCTCACTCTGATTAAATGCTCTCAAACTATGCAGATGTTCTATTTCAGTCCTCCTAAATTACACCTTGTTGACAATATGGTTAGTTTTACAAAGCTTTGTGTCACATTCTTTGCTGTCCTTTCTTGTAGAATAGCCTCATTTTTGTCATTTTCATTACAGTCTAATATAAATATGCTTTTAATGTTAATGTGTTAGACATATAACTGAATTTACAAATTATCAACACTGTTGCCAAAAAGCTGAACATTGTGACATTTGCAATGATGTGTCATTTTTGTTTTTATATTCTTAGCATTTAATAAAACAAAGAAGGTAACAAGTCACTCCAGAATGCTCTGCAGTAGTTTGGTACTGTGTTGGGAAAGAGTTTTAGCTTGCAAATAAAAATGAAATATTAAAATGTTTGAAGATGAGGTAGGCTAAGTGATCATTTCTGGGGGGTTTTTGTTTTGTTTTGTTTAGCTGAAATTGCAGTTCTTGATCAGCTGCAGTTAATATGTATGTATATTCAACTATTTGTGCAATGTAACTTTAACTGCTCATGACAGCTGAATATGAACGCTTTTATGTTTTACACAGTTGAGGGGGATTTTAGATTGATCAATACTGCCACCTAATGGCCACAGTTGAAAATGTCTGCAGACAGCTGGAGAATTTTTCTCTAAATGCATGAAAAAAAACATTGCTGTAATTGATGTTAACTTTCCATATAATTTCAAGTTGAAATGCAGGGGTATTCAAGTCTGACCTAAGTCTTATGTCTGAAAGACTGCAGCAGTGCTGCAGTTGGTTTAATGTCCTACTGAAACATCGGTTACATCAAATTGCTTGTCAATCTTAATACAAATTCAGTGCAGCCATGACTGAACACAGTAGAGTCATAGATAACTATAAAACAACCACAATAACGTCACTATATCAGCACAAGAGGTCACTATACACCATACATTTTCTTCCATAGCACACGCCTTACAACTTTTCTCTGCAACAGCAGAGGGAGATATTTCATTTCAATTCAACTAAACTAAAAGCCTAAACCGTTTTAGGATGTAAAGCAATTTACATAAAGTGTAGCACTATTTGATTTGATGCATTTCTATAAAAAAAAAAACCCTGAAAACTGATCAAGTATTTCAGATTAATCAATATCGTCACCTACCTAATACCCACAACTGAAAATGTCTGCATGTGTTGTTACTTTAATTCTTAACATTGACTGAAATAATCTTCGATTGGTTTTACAGGTGAGAATGAATTAGCAGTTATGTTAATGAAAGATTAATAGTTTAGAAACAAGAACTGAACAATATCCTTCCTTCCACGGTTTTTTTCATTGCAACTGTAGATGTCTGTTGTGAAAAACAGCCGCACCCTTTACCGTAAATGAAAATGAAAGTAATTATTTGACTGAGTAAAGAACAAACACACATAGCAGTTCAAATATTCAATGACAACTATGTAAGGAAGAAGCGCAAACGAGGTAGGTCATCTACCGATTACCTTTACTGATAATAATATTGCATTATGCTGCTTTTAAGATTCAAGTATGCAGTATTAAATATTAGGTTACATATCCTCAATGTGTTAATCTTTCATAGCATTAAGCGTTACACTACTAACTGAAACGTAAGGTCTCCCCTTTCATCCTGTCCTATATTCTAGTTGAGAAATAAATAGGAATATGTTAGCGAGGCAAAATTTATATAAATCAGTCATGTTTAACTGTTACAGTGTTTCTATATACAAAATATCGGATGACCTAAATTCATTTGTAAAATATAAAAAAAATACAATTGTAAATAAACAAGAGAAAAAGCTAATGAATTTGTTGGAAGAGTAAACACTGTAAACCAAAAAATGGAATTTAAATTTTTTAAATCAGCTACACTATTACAGGAAGTGAAAGCGAAAGTAAAACTTAGTGTAACCACTAAGTTTTGTAATATCAGTCCTCGATATCGGCAGCTGCTTTTTGCAAAGCCTTAGAGCAGGGGCGATTCTAGAATCAGAGCTTTGGGGGTGCTGAGCATCTAGAGAGCTGCCCAGCCAGGCAAGATAAACCTGTCTCTGTCAGTCCCTGCATCCTTAAATGTTGTCCCGAGTTTTCTCTGACTGTCACTTTGGTGCATTTAAACCCCTGTTCCTCCCTGTCCTCATCGTCTGTTGTCTTCATCTCCGTTATCAGTCATCATAATTTTACCATCTCTGTGCAAGTCTGCAAATTTCTTTATTAAATCATAAGATTCTTAAATTCATCAAGTCTCTCTGTGCCTGGGTCCTCGTCACGATACATGACATCACAGTTTTTACATTTTAATACAATTGAATCCCCACATTTGTGAAACAAAAGAAAAACACTTTTTTGAAAAGTCTGTAACAAAACCATCAAATCTGATAAAGGTTATGTAAATGCTGCTAAAGAAGAATGGATTGGAATAAAAAACAAACAAACATATCCTAACCTTAATTACTGGGGAGAATAATGAATGATGCTCATAGTGATTAAAACTGAGTGCATTTTTTGGACAGAGATTCACTTTTAATGTGTATTTATAATATAATACAGACACATAAAAACACTCCTAAAACAGAATAAATTATTACAAATAAATTATTACATAATATTAATATACTATTAATATATTAAAATTAGTACAGATACTAATTTTACTAATTTAACAATACTAATTTTGTGTTGTAAGATTTATGACTTTCGTGCTTTCATAGTGGTACTTAGGAGAGCTTGACATTTTATCAGGTGGTCCACACTGTAAAAAGTTTGAGAAACACTGATAAGTGTATGCGTCCTTTTGGAAAACATTTAAAGCTGCAGTACAGAATCTTTGAAACAAGCTTAAAACATTTTTAGAATATAAACAGAGCACTCTGCTTCTCTTTACAGCTCCTCACTCCACCAGGGCTGTTTGGCACTTTCTGATAGTGTGCAAATGTGATGTATGTACTGCAGCAGTCATACAGACAACTGGATGGTCCAAAAGTTGGCCTACCTATTACTGGCTGAGGTTTTAGTAGAGTTGTGGCTGAACCACATAAAAATATATCATTAATGTCGCTTATTTTACTACAGAGTAGGACAGATTGTAGAGTAGCAAACATCGTCGGAAAACACGTTTTCAACACTGCAGGTTACCTGGTATAATGTTTTTCAGCTAAAAAGAAACATGGTCTGACTCCTACCTAACTATATAAAGAGTAACTGAAGGTTAAATGCAGCTAATATGTCCTGTTTTAAGCCAGGCACTTACAACTCCGCTCCGCTGCGTCTCAGCCACCATCGCTCTGGCAGCAAGAGCACCAGAGCCAGAGCAGGGGAGAGCTGGAACAAACCATTTTGGGAGGGGGGGTAATCTATACTTTTGTTGTTAAAATGTTACGTCTCAAACAAGTACAGTACTGTATGCTTTTTATATTTTAGTAGTGTGTCACACAAACAGCAAATATTGTTGGGGGTGCTTTGATTCATTTTGATGATCTAAAATCGCCCCTGCCTTAGAGTCGTCTCAGATTATTCGTTTCTGTGTTTTAAAAGCTTTTTAGGTGTAATTCATTACAATATATATATATATGTGTCTTAAATACTAAAAAATATGCCATATTAATGGCATATTTATCTTATCTTATCAATCTATAATGAAAAAGTATTATTATTGATAAGGACAGACCATAAAAATCTATTTAGTAGTAGCAGTAAGCCATTTCATTTATCTTCTTTTCCACCTTTCAAATGTGAAGATTTGGGTGGGCAGAGCAAACAAGTAAATTAAAAAAAAATCAGAGAAAGTTTAGATTCTGTGTGAGAATTGGAAAGCTGAAGCAGACGCTCAAAGTCTTTCCCTCTTTTGTAGCTTTTACAAGAGTCCAGAACAACACCACTTGAAATGATGACCTCAATAATTAAAATGTTACA